CCTTGATGCCATGGAATGGAAAGTTTGGCTTGACTTGATTTGTTTTAGATTCTGGGAAAAAAGTATTGAATGTTGAAAAAAAGCATTTATTTACTTTCTTTCTGCTTTTCTTAAGTGCAGAACTGTTTATTTAAAAAATAAAAAGCTAGACCAGTGCAGCAGGAGGAAACTGCTTGGAGCAATCTGTGACTTCGAAAGGATTCTTCTAGAGATTAGACTGGCCGTGGCCAATTGACCAGATATGAAGATTGGTTGTTCCTTAGGGCTTAGAGGCAATTTTTCCTCCATTCTGCTTCTGCTGTGTCTGGGTCCTTAGATCTGGACCTTTCTCAACGCCTTTATTATGCTAAATATACAGATACAAAGTATAGCCTTATTGCATTAACTGCAAGGTATTTTGATTTATATTCCTTACAAAAAGCAGAGGCCCACTATGGAGAAGGATCTAGTTCTAGAATAACAAAATCATTAATGAAGTTCCTTCTAAAATAAAATATTTGAACAACAAATCAGTTAAGTATTTGAACAGTGACTGTGAAGGACTGAACCAGGAGGTGACTTAACTTGCATTGTAGAGAAGACTAGAGCCAGTCAGCAATTTTTTTTTGGTGGTGTTCAAATTAGTTCTACAAGTTTTTCTGAAGTTTTGTGTATATAATGGAAAAAGTCCACACTCCCACAGCGGGGAAGCACACATGTATTAATAAGTACCCGTTCATATTGTTGTTGTGAATACTAATTCATTTCTTTGAATGAAGCCCTTCTGCTACCTTTAGAATTTTTAGTTGTTTTGTTAAACCAAAGAGTGTTTGGAGTTACTTAAAAAGAGAACCTTAGTCATTATTTTGACTTAGCTTAAGCCATGATAATATCCATGTGTTCTATCCTTGACAATAGAATAGGTAACAGATGTGTGTTACAGGCATTAATCTTTTACTTCACAAAGTTATAAACATAGAAGGAACTTTTTGGCATATATTAGAGCAACTGTACTACAGTTCTCTTTTTAAAACATTTTTCTGTACTTTTTTTTTCTCCTTTAGGTGATAATAGAAAGATACAAGGGTGAGAAACAACTTCCTGTACTGGATAAAACCAAATTCCTTGTACCAGATCACGTCAACATGAGTGAGCTAATCAAAATAATTAGGTATTCAGTAATCCTTTCACATATTCTTTAAACGCTAGATGGTTAAGATTCAAATAGGAGCTCTCATGCTAGTTTTCTGACTATAGACATTTACAGTTTCCTGATGTTTGCAAAATTAATTTTTAAAAGTTTGACAACACAAGGGAAAAAGTAATGAAGGCTACGGTAGAAGCCAATCCTAAGACTAAAAGTGGGGGAAATTGCTTCCTAGAGTTAACAGACAGTGTGTTGATAAACAAGAATTGACTAGCTTTGGGCCATAAAAATGCATGTTAGAGAAGTCTGTTAGGCTGTAGACATAGTGTTTCAGTGTTTTCTGTATTATCTCCCCCCTTGCCCCCACATGACCCAGCTGCCCATTTATCAGAATAGCAGCTGAAATTTAAAAGTATTTTAATTTAGAGGAGTGGTCTAAAATAGAAATGGAGGGCCACTAATTTGTACATAAGGATCCTGTGGGCTACATATTGACTTAGTTTTGAAATGTAATCTATGTATCTATTGTATTTTATTTATTTTTATTAAGTAATTCCCAATTACATTTTAATCTGATTTGGGCCACACTGGTTTGGAAGTGTTGTGGGCTACATGTTTAACACCTGGTTTAGAGGACCTAGATTTACAGTTATCTAAAGGCCCTGAAAATTCTTGATGTTTAAATCAGCCTTCCTCCTTCTTTTTCAATAGAAGGCGCCTACAGCTGAATGCTAATCAAGCTTTCTTCCTATTGGTGAATGGACACAGCATGGTGAGCGTTTCAACACCTATTTCCGAAGTGTATGAAAGCGAGAAGGATGAAGATGGATTCTTGTATATGGTATATGCCTCTCAGGAGACATTTGGAAAATCTTCAGTGTAAGACCTAGTACAAAGCTTCTATACTAGAATTTTTTAAGCCCTCACCCAGGAAAAAAGGGATGTTACCAACTGAGATTGATCAGTTCATCTAATCACAGTTCACCAAAATAGAAGTATTACCACCTTAGGGGTTTTTAGTAAGTTGTCTCTTGTATTACATGCATATGTAGTAATACATGTTAAATTCCAAAAGCATATACAATACAGCTTTGGAAAACTCCTGTTTCACCTAGGATATCTTGTTTTTAAGTTTTAGGTTTAGAAACATACCTTGCATTCTAAGTTGCCAATAAAATGGGTCATTTGAATTGCTGTAGTGACTTTTTTTAAAAATAGGAATTTCAATTCCAATGGTAACCTTTAAACATTTAGTGAAACAAGTCTTTGTTCATGGAAACTAATTTTTATAGGAAGGTTTCTCTTTAACTGTGTATCTTTAAGTAGCCTTGTCAAATGTCATATCTATTTTTTTTAAGTCCATTTACCATCAGTGGTCGCAGCAAAACAGGGTAAATGGGGGGCAAAAAAGTCCAGCTTCTTCTGGAATCTATGCATAGATTTCCAGTTTAGTAAACCGCCAACTTTCTTGCTGTCTTATTTGTTTTCTATATAGTCATACAGAGAAACACCATGGATTCTATGGGTAAATTGAATGATTTCTTTTAAATGCTTGGCTTCCAAAAAGTTCCTGAGAACAGAGGGATGGCATTTCTTGTTATTACAGATTTGCTGTGATTTAGAGACTCTCAAACCAGTGACTATTTCATTAAATAGTTGCACCAGAATAAGTCTTTGCTGATGCAGTTAGAAATTACATCCTAGAACTTTGGAGCATTAAAATTCATTTTGCACTCCCTTGCACCTTTGGGTTAAGTCTGTAGTCTGATTTGTTATGTTTCAAGTGGAAAAGTAACTGCTTCACTAAAATACTTTATTAAAATTTTAACTGTAAGCATACTTCAGCTGTCACTGTTAATCATAAAAAACCCTCCAACCAGTTTACGTGCATGTCATTTTGTAAAGGAGAATGTAGCAAAGGGGGTAAAAGCTGCTTTCAACAATGTCATTTTATTTAATATCTTGAACAAAGGACTATAAGTGCTTCCTGCTACTTGCATGGGGTTGACAACCTATTTTCATGGAGTGTCACAAAAAGTTCGTTGTGACACCACTTGGACTGAAGTATGTATGTAGCAGATCAGCGAAAATTATCCTTGTATATTTAGATGTGTGTGAAATATCTACAACTGTTAGTGAAAGTTATTTACTATAATGGAGAAAAGCAATATTACTGCATCTTGGCACTACAGTTAATAAATGTATACAACTTGTTTGCCTTTGTTCACTTTCTGCATGCATCTGTCCATAGTGCTAAATTTTCATGAGTGTATTTTTACTGCATTGTAAATTCTTAATCAACCTGTCTTGTTAGGTTGTATAAGATGTTCATGTTTAATGAAAACACCTGACATCCATCTTGTAATTGCTGTGTGATCAGTAAGGTTCCTGTAAGATGTGTTGCTTTTTTAATTTAATACAGTGCGGATAGGGATGAATTATATCCCAAATTAACTTGAGTGGTAGTTTTATTTCTAGGATGTTTAAAACGAGTAAATTTTGATCAGGCAGGGTGAAGGAAAAAAAAAAAAACAACAAAAACCAACAACAACAAACCAGTGCTCAGAACTAAAAATGCAATGTCATATACTGTCCAAAATGTAGCATTTTCAACAAATATGTAAAAAGTATATCTTTTGAGCTAGAGGCAGGATCCAGGGTAGTTAATGAGAACTAAAAGTATTAAGAAATCACTGCAGTTTATGAAGTAGCAAAACAGTGGGGATTGACTGTAGTAATGGGGAGAGATGTAGGGATGACATTAATAAAGGTAATTGGAGAAAAAAAAGCAGGAGAGAAGGGAGGCTAGGTACACATGAGGAGCACCACTCCTGCTATTCTCCAAGCCGACTGAAAATGATAAAGTGGTGGTCAGTAGAAAATCTGGAACAGGTTCCAGCAACCCAGTAGGACACACTATTTTCTAAAAATCAGTAGAATTTCAAAACAACCAGTTTTAGCCCAGCTTTAACTGAGAGCCAGAAAATTTTCTTTCCTGCAAAGGTTAGGCACAGGATGTGAGCTTCCTGATTACACTGTTTCTGAGCTTGGTTATCCATAGTAAATAAGTAGCATAAGGCTACACTGACTTCTGGATTTCATACTGATGATGCCTTGTATGTTAACACCCCATAATGTTCCAGCCTCATTCTATCATAGGTAAGCCCTTGAAATCTGCTGAGACTGGCCCTTGGCTAAAAAGTCTCCAGAAGCAGCATGAGTGGCTGTACATCATTTTTTCACTGGTATTTACTAAGAGGGTTTTCTGATGGAAATACATACCAAATACAATAAACAGGATTTAAGCTGTTAGGGTAAAAGATTTTCCAAGGCATTTAAGAATTTTCTTTTATACTGCTGCTTCTTATTAGACTTTTTTGGACTATTTCATTTCCCATTTTTATAAAAGGCTGTTAACATTCCTTAATCATAAGCTTCTGGTGGGCAAACCCTTCTTGCTGTAGTGTTTGTATTCCCCTTCAGTACTGTTACTTTACACGTTAAATGAACAAGCAGCAGCAGGCAACATCACATGGGGGAGGGGAAGGAGGAAGACTACAAAGTAATTTGTGGTTTGCTGCATGTCATAAATAGCCTTTCCTTGAGGCAAGAGACCATACACATTGGCCTTAAGCCCATCTTAGGTCAACTAGAGTGATAATTTAGCTAATATGTATCTCTAGATTTCAAAGACGTTCTAGTAGGAACCCCGTTGAAAATTCCTGTTGAAAATTGAATGCCTGTTAATTACCATTCACTTGCAAATATGAGGAAGGAAAAGAGGGAAAGTTGTTCTTGGAGTCAATGACCTGAAGAGTTTTTCTGAAATGTCTTTTCTCAAAATGACAAGATCTAATTCAATGGCACGCTAAGCCTGTTTTTAATTTTTATTTTCAGTACATTAAATTTACTCATAAAAACATTCTAAAAATGTACAATTTTTCCTTTTTAACAAAGTATAATAAAACATAAAAACCCCAATAACAGAATACTTGACATTTACAATTCAAAATCAAATTAGCTGAATATTAAATATTTACAAAACTATATTTTTAAAAAATATTTATAAAGTTACATGCATTTTGTAGAATTGTGACAAAATAATGGCTCAAAAATGGGATAATTTTCCTTCATTCCTAACATAAAATTATGTCCGAGAGTCTGAAGTTGAACTTGTACTTGAGTACATAAGGTTTGCTTTCACATTCAGTACCAAATACCTTTTGCTATTTGTGTATGAACTTATAAACATGTAGAAAATTTGATGAGGGCTGTTAACAATACACGTTTTTATGTGGTTATATCTGGGGATTGATTACCTTTGCCCCCACTCCCTCAAAGTTAATATTGTAGTAACGTTTACCTTTGGCCTCAACCAGCACAGTATATATACATATATATACACACACACACACACGTGTGTGTACATATATACATATATATGAATATTGCAAGTGTTGAACAGTTCAATATGCTCGTGTTCATTAAGACCCTTGGGATTTTGTTTTTAAACAATTAAGCCTTCCTTCAGAATCCATGGCTTTCAATGTAAACTCTTTGATTTGTTCTTTGGGACTAATCCACAGTGAACAACTATGGACAACAAAACTCACTTATGCAACAAGGATTATTTTTCTTGGTGAAAGTTGAGTTAGGGGTATTTCCCCCTAGTAATTAAGACTTTCCAACATATTAATGGCACCAGTTATATCAGTATGTAGAACTAACAAGGCCAAAAAAAAAAGCCACTTATGCATCAGCAATGACAACAAAATGGCAGGGAACTATTCACAACCAAATTTTTGGCAGGTGCTTGATAGTAATCCACTACGTTATAAAAAATGAAGATTGGAAGCCTATATACTGTGCTCAGAAAGATTAATGACTTGATATAGCTGAGTGATATTTTGGTAAAGTCACTACTACTGTGCCTCAATACATACAATTTGTAGTGTAAATGAACCATGTTGACCTCTTGCAATAAAGGATCTAGAGTTCTAAATATTTAATAAAAAATACTGAACCTATTGCCTTCTATTAACATTCTGACTCCTAGAATCTTTTGTAGGTTACAGACAATGCTGGTTTTATTCCCAATATTTCTAATTATAAGTTTTTTCTTCTTTTATAGAAGTGCTAGCTCCCATGTACTTAGTACTCCTCAATAACTAGAAGGTTTTAACACTTTCCAGTTTTCTATACTACAGTGAATTTAAAGTTAGAACATAAGGTAGTTAACTGTTCTTCCTTTAAAAAAAAGTATTTAAATAGTTGTTTTATCCCACACTGTATTCTACTTCAACCTGTACATTCCACTACCCCCCAACCCCCCTTGCCTGTTGGAGCAGAAAAGGGTCAGGATGGGGTGGAGTAGGGTAGTGGTGCTTGAAGCTTCTTTAATACATGACAGACATACACAAAGAAGTGGGCATTACCACTACCTACCTGGTTGTTTCAGCCACTCTGAGATTGAGACCACAATTTAAAGCAAGATACTAAGAACTTGAAAGGGTTAAAGATGATCTGTGCCTAAATAAGTAAATAAGACTTCTAATGAAATGTAAAAATGCTGTATGGGCTTATCTGTTTTTGGCTTCTTGATAGAAATCAATCGTAATACTGCTGGCAAATACTCTGAAGCCATAAAATACGGTAATCTGCTTTGGGAAAGCTCAAATACTGGTATTTTAACCATTTCTGCATTAAGAGTTCTTTCTGTTTTTACTCCTGAAATTTTCCTAAACTTAAAATGTCTTCATCGGACACAATGTACTGTAAACCCATTTTCAAACACAAGATTTTCTTTTAACATAGCTGCTATTGAACCAATTTGGAAAACTGTCAGAACAATATGAGCTGCTCAACTTCTGAATTTTATATTTGCAAATCAAATACTTTTTGTTTGTTTTAATTTTTTAAAGAACTGAATAAAAATACTTAAATATATCGGTTAATATGGACCAAACAAGTCAGAATGGTAACAGACATTTAACTCCTCAATACCGTCCATTAAAAATACAACTTATATAAATTAACTTTTTTTTTTTTGCTATTTGAGACAGTTTCCAACAATGACACTGTTGAAAATAGGGTTTACTTAAATGCAATTGAAACTTGAAGAATTTATTTAAAAAACCAAAAATGTTAAAAAATTTGGCTTCCAGCACACATCCAGGCCACCATACAAGGCCCTCAAAAATATTAAAATCGTAAACATCATTGAAAACTCTTCTGTCTTCCTTTAACATAGATAGTATATATAACATGACAAGTTGTTCCTACTGTCTAGAACTCTTTAAGGCAAAGTGTCAGTTCTCATCACTCTCATGTTTAAGTTTTATAGTTTCCCAAGAGATCCAATGAAACATCCTCAAAATCATTAGCAAACATCACAATTCAATACTGTAATACGGTTTAGCATAAACAGAGCTGAAAATACAGAGGTCTGTAGCTTCTACATTGCATAGAAATAAGAAATTAAAATCTCGTATGTACTATTTTTTTTCACAGATTCAAATAACACAACCTTTTTGCTTTGGTTTCCATGAAGCTGGGAAACTGACCTCCAAAAATCTGAAACAAGTGTAGTATCACTGCCATTTCCTATTACAATGCCTCTACGTTGGAACCAATTCTATGGTGTTATGTTTTTGGCCTGAGGCTGAAATCCCAATTTCAGAATGGGCTGAACATTTTGAAATTTTCACAAATATTTGATAGAAAACCCCTGGATGACAATGCTTTGCCTTCTCAAGTACATAATGGTGGTAGAGGTTTTTAAACATTTAAGTCATATTTTAGCAGAAAGTTACCTTTGTTCTCTAGTCCCTGGCTTTCAAACCAAGTGCTACTATTCCAATGGATAAAAATTTAGGAATCCATGGTGAATATAGTACTTCTCCACCTTGACAAAATTAGGTGCGTTTTGTGGGGGCTCCTTCCAAGTCTTATCAATTCAAATGACAAGTTCTAGGTAGTGAACAGAATTAACTAGTCTAAAAGTAACAAAAGAGGTTGACAGGAAAACTTTAAAGTCTTTTGCTCATTAATTATGAAATTGTATTATTGTTGAAATGTCTGTCTCAACACCTCTGAATCCTTTAGCAGTAAGCCTTGGGGTAGAAGTCAGTATTACATAAAATAACGGCTTGCCAAGTCTGCTAACAGTGTTCAGCATCAGGTTGGTTTCAAACTCATTTACAAAAGTAGTGTAGTTAATATGTCTCTGAAAGATGTTGTCCACGTCTAATAGGAACAGGACTCAACGATGTTTAATGTGTTAGGAAAAAAAATAGGTGTTCTCAGAGCCATCATGACCCCGGCGTCTCTGGGAGTTGGACCCTTAGAAATTAAGTTCATTTTGCTGCTGGTCAGCGGTTTCTACCTAATAAGTGTTGACAGTGTACATTTATGAACAGAAAAAGGACTGAAACTGCCACACATATTTTACAGAGGGAAAGGAAAAAATAAGATTGCTTTATTTGTGTAGTCGGCCATGTAGCCTGCTGGTGCCAATTCTTTAAGTGTGGGTCGTCTCTGTCTCTCGCACTGGTCTCAGAAAACGAGTTAACATTGTCTACCAGAACTGCAGAGATTTTAAATCATTTTACATTCTTCTGTAGTGCAATCCTTAAAAATCCCAGAGATTAGTGCCTGACCACTTTAGGAAAAAAAAAAGTAGACATTTTACCTAGCCCAGGGGTGTCAGAGTCCGACTGGCGAAACTCCACTTTGAAAACTTCAACCTCCGGCTCTCAATTCAGATCACACGTAGCTGCCCTGGAATTATGTTTCAGCCTAGAAGGACCAATTACGGCAATGCTCTTCAGTAAATGTGATTTTTTTTTTTTTTGTTTTTGCATTGCAACAAAGAATGTAGGTGGCAAACTTCACCAACCATCTGTGATACCCACTAGGTAAGTCCTGACATCAAGCTCCAAACTAGGATTTTGGCAATCAATAAAATTGGGTATGATGTACCCCTAAGCTAGATTTTTTTTTTTCTATCCAGTCTAGTAAAGTAAAGCACCTTTGGATTAAAAATATTAAGCTCAACAGCAACTAGACTTCTCAGTTTTGTATTTAATTTTCCTTATGTCTCCATGGCTTAATAGTGTTCTGTTGCCAGAGAAAAATATCAATCTGTGGAGTCCAGACTTTCTGCTGGAGGGGCATATTTCAACCTAAAAGTACCTGGAGAGAGGGGGAAAAAAAAAGGGTCAAATTTGAATCACTGCATGATTATCACAACCAAATGATTTGTCAAAATGTAGCTGCACAGCAGCCAAGCTCCCACCTTGGTGCTGGAAAGCAGTATCTATCACTTGGTCCCACCAAAAAAAAAATGTGGATTTTATTTTTACAAATTTATAAAACCAAAACCTTTTAATAATGTTGAACAAGATAAAACAGCTGCTTCTACCCTCATTTTAGTAAGTTTTTTCTGAGGTTTTTCTGAGACTCATAGCTGGTATTGGTCTGCTTAGGCATCCAACTGACTACATCTGGCACTTTGGAGAACCCTTCAAAATGGCTTAACTAAAATGCAAATAAGGCCTAATAAAATTGAAACTACTTTTCATGTTTACTGTTCTAGAAAAAATTGCACGCACCTACCTCTGCAAAGCCAATTCCTTGATCACAGGGGTTCAGGAGAGTAGGGTTAATTTAAATGCCCAGATAAGCCCTAGTAACATTTTAGTAAAATGTCAATGGCTTTCTTTAGTTTTTTACTGAAATAACTAAAACACAGAACTGACTGGTTTAAGATTGAGCTTTCATTTTTCTGTCCTCTGGTATAGTGCTAAAGAGTCAGTAAAAGCACACTGCCAGAAGGATGAGGATGAGGTATCAAGGGAAAAATGGAGAGAATGGACATTTTTCATTATGGGCCACAGGGAGAAAAATGACTTAAACTTCACATTAAAAAAAAAGAAAGTTTTTAAAGAGAAAGAGAAAATGTTTTACTTGTCAACTTTAAAGATTAGGAATCATGGAATTACAGAGCTGGAGGGGCACTAGGGATCATCTTAATCCAACTGCCTCACTTATTATAGATCAGGAAATAGGCCCACAGAGGGGAATTAACTTGCCCAAGGTTACACAATGAATTAGCAGCAGAACTGGGACTAGAACCCATGTCTCCTGACTTCCCAGTCCAGTGCACTTTTTCCACTAAAAAAACAAAGAACATAAAACTATTTAATAAATACATCAGAACTATTTATTGTCTTTATGGATAGATGAGAGAGAGAGAGAAAGGGGTGGGGGGTGAAAATTGAGAGTGAAAGAAACCAACAAGGAAAGGGAGACAGACATAGCCATTCTTGAAGCTGGAAATTACTACAGAGATTAGTGTCTCACACAATGACTTAGAGCCGTAGCTAGGATCTGAATCCAGGGGTCCTGACTTAAGACCTACATACATAAAAATGGAAGGTGAGGTAGCTGAGATAGGAAGGATCAAAGTGCAGGAAGGCAGAGGACAAGGGGAGAAAGAAGAGTGGACTGAACAAAAAGTAAGGGCAGGAGGACAGAATGAGAAGAAAAAAGTCTTCAAGTTGTGATACTGCAATTAAAGCCTCTTAAAATCCACATTCCATGTCTTCACCTCTAGGTTTAAGAAGGGATTTATCAAATCTTGGCAACTGCCTCACAAATTAGAGAAGAAAAGTCAGAGGCAACTTACAGGCCCAAAGTTCCCCACTTTGGCCTAAATGATCCATAAAATAGAGCCTGACTTGAAAGCCTGTATGGATTTCAGACACTATTCTTTAATTTTTAAACTGATACTTTATACAATTTTTTTCAATCTACTATTTTCACTACTAGACCTAAAAGAAAATGAACAATAATTTAATAAGAATGTAAAACTAAATAAGTAGTGGGTTTTGGTCCTACTTCTAACCTAGTTTCTAGACCAATGGAACCCCCATGCACTTAGAGACAAACCAGGCCCAATATAAAAATATTACAACTGTGAATCTTTACCTTGACGATTGAAATCCATTGGTGGCTGCTTGCAGTCCTGAGCCCGGTGACCGGTGGCCCCACAGTTATAACAAGAGAGGTTTCCACTTTTCTTGTGGCCCGAACTGTTATTTCCCATCATTCCTTGGGCTTGGTACACCCCTGCTGTCCCTGCCATAAAGTTCTGCATTGGAGGAACCGCAAACGTGGACTGACCACTCAGGACAGAGTCTGGGGTTAAGTTACTGTTATAAGGAGAATGAACTACTGGGAAAGTTGTGCCGCTGCTGTACTGCTGTGTGTTGATGTAGCCATTGCTGCATAGGGGGTTGAAGGGCAGAAAGGGGAAAGTAAACATTGAAGGTCCTGAAAATGGGTGCTGGAAATAGTTAGCATAACTGACTGTCATACCACTTGAACCACAATTTCCACTACATCCACAGGAAGTACACACGATGCACCCTGGAGGCTGCTGCTGCTGGGGTGGCGGCGGCGGCGGCGGCTGCTGCTGCTGCTGCTGCTGCTGATGGTGGTGGTGGTGGTGATGGTTCTGATTTGGTACAGGGATGGTTCCTGTGGAGCCACTACTGCTGTTACTGCTGCTGCTGCTGCTGCTATAGAAATTGTTTTCTGTAACAGAGGAAAGTGTGGGGCTAGAACTGGGGGCAGGGCAGCTGGTTATATTTGCCATGTTTGCAAATGATGTCGATGGGTGGCTGTTGGAAGAGGCAGTGTTGCCGTTTGCACAAAAGCTGCCTTGCATCGGGGCCACTGGCATGCTGCTCATTGCAGAAAAGGCCACTTTGGTGTTGGCTGTGTACAGGGCAGTCCTGGGGTTTATTATTGCCGGGGGCACGCTTATCTGCACGTTATTTGAGCAGGATGTTTGTCCAGAAATTGCAGAATCAGCAGGAACAGACGAAGAGACCAGAAGTTTTATTGGTGGGCGAGCCACGTGGAAGACAGTGCTAGACGTGACAGTAGCGGCAGTACTCGTTTCCACAACTAACGCTGGCTGCTGGGCTGTTTTTATCACTCTGTCCAGAGTGGAAGCGTGGACAACTTTGGTCCGAGGACCAAAGGAAACTGTGGGTGATACTGAACTGCTTTCAGGAATCCCAGAAAGGACTTGCATGGGCTGGTGAGGAGAGGATGCAGGTAAGACTTCCATCATTGTATTTCCAAAACCCTTTTCCACTTTAATGCTGCCTCTTGGTCCAGATGCAATTTTATTCCTTTCTTCGAGAGACAAGAGTGAGTGCATAGAAGATGAAAGAAGCTTCATGTCTGTGTTTCCTCGTTCTGATTTGTGTACTGAATTTAGCATTCGAATAGGAGCTATGTGAGAGGCAGCTGCTGTCATCATTTGTGCTGGCAGGGGATGGTGGCTGGATGGGTTTGAGCCTGCATCATTCTGCACTGGTAGAACCTGAGCTGTGGGTCTGGCTGAACTTGAAGTGAAATGATTCAGTAACATTACTGGCTTCTCCTTATCTGAACCCTCCAAGTGAATTTCTAAACCTAGAGATGGAAACAGACCTATGAATATAGCTTTACTACTCAGGTCAACACAAATTTAAGTATTGCTTGGATTCCTTACGTCTCTCATTTTCCTCAGCACTGTCAGAGCTTTCTTCCCGAGCCTGGATCCCCATTGGGCTAGAAGAGGAACTAGAATACTCTGAAGAGCTACCTTCTCGGGGCATCTGATGAGCTGGCTGTTCCACATCCACACGCAGCTCTGGAGAAGAAAAGATCCAATCACAAGCTAAAGATACAGTGGACAATCATGCAGACACCCATCTGTGAGCTGTACATTAAATCATGCAGCCTGATGATTTTTTTTTACTTTTCAATGTTCCCAAAACCACCTGAGGTTTGATAAAGCAGTACAACATATAAGATAGCATTTTAAGGTAATGACTACTGAAAAGATGTGAAAATACACACATACATAGATGTATGTATGTATATGTTTGTAAATTTATATATGTGAATTTTAAAATAGCCTTGAATTAAGATGGAATCTTAATCCAAATATTTTAAATATATCATAGTAGTTTTCTATAAAATTTCAACTAGTCTTAGATTTCAGTCTATTAAAAAGATTAACCTCTTCCAAAGTGTAGAAGAATACTATCTTAGGATAACAGAAGAAGATGTACTTTTATTTCCCCAAAGTCAGTACAGGTGAGGTGATAAGGTAACTAACTTAACTGGTTGTGGTGGTGATAGGCTATAAATACAAGTCAACTGGGGCAAAGAGAAGGAAGCACTGGTGATAGATACCCCTAACTACAAATATCTAGGTGACATGGGTGGGTGAGTGACTCTAGGAGCATCACAGTGGCTCCTAGAAACAATTAGGAAGGTTACTTAATATTTTTGTTATTGATTTTTATATTAATCAATTATATAATAAAAATGAAGGGTAATCCAAGTGCACCCTTTCTTCTTTACCTCTTGCTGGGTTCATGGACTGCCCAAGACTCATTTGAGCTACTTGCCTACTTAAATCACTAAAGGTTTTAGGACCTTTAAGGACCCTGCTGAAAACTTGAGACTCCTGAGCCTTTTCTTCTGCTCTAAAGTGAAACTTTCTTTTATGTCTTGTCTCCCTGAATTAGGGTTTACTTCTTGTGAGCAGAGATTGTCCTGTTTTTTCTATTTGCATCCTCAACGTTTAGTACTGTATTTGGCAGCTTAGTACAGTATTTGGCACACTAAGTGCTTAATGAATGCTTTTTCATTCATCTCTGGTCCCAAATGAGAGAGAAAATGTCTTCATCTGTTTTTGTTCTCTTTTTATCATTCTCCCTTTTTATCACTCACTGCATCCTTGTATTTAGGTGTTCTGTCCAAACAACCTCAGGCAGTCCTGCCCTTTTATTAGCCCCCTCCAATTTTCCCTTCAGGAATGATAAAAAAGTAACAAAATTACAGAGTAGGTATTCCTTTTATTTGTAATTTTATTAGGTATCCTAATAATATATAAGTCCATAAAGAGATGAGTAACATAAAATCCCCCAAAATTTAAGTACATGGTAGCTAGTCATTTCAATGGAGTTCTCAGTTGACTTTTTTTTTGATAATCATTAAAAAAATGATTAAATAAAAATACTTTATTTTAAAAAGTAGAAACAAAATTCCCACTTGTAACATTTACCTGCAGCATGGTTTCCACGGATGGTTTGTATGGGACCTACATGGCTAGTAGGAGGAACTCTGGCTACACCACTATTGGTAACTGAAGATGGTGTTGAGGGATTCAGGCACCGTTTTTCTGACTTTTCCCTAGAAAGACAGAAGCATGTAATCACTAGTCACTTACTAGTCACTTAAGAAGCTCAAGCAATCCCCAAACTTTGCTTGAGGGACACTGTAGTATAGTTAAAACACAATGGAGGCTATCGTACCCGCATAAAGAGTTTGGCCTAGAGGACCCCTCAGGTTCCTTCCAGTTCTAAATCTATAATCCTTCCCCCACTGGCCCATGTTAGCACTCTGCCAGAAAGTGGTCTTTCCAGTGTATGTGGAGCCTCTCATAGCGAGGTCAAAAGCCTGATTCCAGATCTGTTACTTACTAGCTATTTACTAGGCAAGTCACAACCTTTCTGAGCTTTAGTCTCCTCATTTGTAAATTACAGATAATACCACTTTTACTATCTTATCTTGCAGGGTTATCATGATAAAAACTATGAAATTCTATTTTTGACAATATTTCTTCATAAAATATTGAGTTTTTATTGATATATTTTTTTACATGACTTTCATTTCCAAATATATCCACCTTTCCTCTCCTTCTCAAAGAGGCATTCTTTATAACAAAGGATAAAAAAGAAAGACAACAAAACTTGTTAAATCGTTGCATAGTTCATAAGAAGATGTCAGACGGGTAGCAAGGACAAAGATTAAATCAATCCTTTTGATTCTTTCCAAATTCACCATTAATGAGTATCTAAACTAGATAAACTCACAGCATTTTATAAAAACTGATTTAATCACTATCCATGTGTTTTTAATGGACAAATAGCAAGCACCAACAAAGTAAGTCAAAACATTAACTGAAAGATAAAAGCAAATAAAGCCTTTATTCTGTTCAGCATTTTGAAGAGAAAAAAAAAAGTCAATCATACAGATTGTACTGTAAATTAAGAATTACTTTCATGCTTACTTTTCTAGCTCCAGCTGAGTCTTAAGCTTCTTCTTTGCGCCCATTGTCAGAGATTCAAATTTATTCAGATCTTCCTCAGTCAGGCTCAAAAACTTACAAGAGAAGTAAGGTAAACAGTTATTATGAATCAGATGTGGATTCTAAAAAAACATGATGGTGAATTTAATCACTTTATGCCATCCCAACGATGCTGGACAATTAAGATGACCAAGCACCAAGAAGAAAGGTGTGCTAAATCACTAGCTCTGAAGTTTCCAGGAGAGAGCCTCTAACCTTGGGAGGGGCTGAGAATTTGAAAAGGGCCCCTCGTTAAGAGGATTCATAAAAAGGTCAGTGAGTAGAGACACACTGCCACATGCACCTGAAGGGATTGCTTAATCTTCACTTTCAAAAGTAAAACTAAGCAACTGGTTTCTTTATCTCATTTCACCCCCTCCCCCTCCAAAAAATCCTTAACAATATACTTTCAATTTATTGCTCCTAAATTATAACTAACTTAAAAACTACCTACCTACCAGCTTTTGTATTTTCTGTCCCACATGGAGAGGGTTTGTAAGAAGGAACGCCTTGATAAATAAGCTCCAAAATGATAAATGATAAAATGATAAAAAGTTTTTAAGAGATGCAGGTCCCTACTTATAAGGTGGCATCTGTCCCAAGCAAATAGATGCCATCCAATAGGAATGATTTTGCATGCTATACACCAAATATTAAAAAAAAAAATGACACCCAAATCTTTAGGATGCACTTTACTTAGCATTTCCAACTTAAGAATTTAAATTAAGTTTCAAAGAGGCATAATTAAAATAGTTTAACTTTGTTTTCCTTTTCAAGGATGTGAAAACCAAACACAGAATAAACTGTTTAATTAATTAGACTTAATTAACTTCCCCCAAACAATTTCTAAGTTCAAATAGAACATGTGGGGGAAAGAAAACAAAGCTTTAAAATCACCACATCACTTTAGCCAGTAGGGGGCACTAACAGTTCACATAATTGGAATAGATTTAATTTATTTTCTAATTATATGATACCAGAGCAATATTATTTCAGAATTTCTTTCAGAAATGAAACTTGCTCCTCGGCATACAGGTTAAGAAAAAAATTTTGAAAAAAATAAAAATGCTGGATCACTTATAACTCTACCTTCTCCATTGTGAGTTGTTTGAAAACAGGATAGTATTTGTGCAAACGCAATTTCCTGAGCCAGTCTAAAATCCCATTTTGTTCCTGGGTCTGAGGGGTTTGAAGACTGGAAGACATTAATATGGGGGAAGAGGTGTCCATCTGGGTGCGGTAGGTCAATGATGAGCCAGTACTCCCTGAATGAGAGCAGTGGGGCAGTGCGACAGCTGCACTGGCAGAGTGCTGTATGTGATGCTGAGTACTGTTCTGAGAAGACTGAATGCCAGCTACTCCACACACAGGTCTGAAAATAAAATTTTTATTTATTTAGCACTAGCTTGTTGTGACAGACAACCATTCTGTGTCTCCATTAAAATTATATGCAATATAAATTAAAAATTGCTATTTTTGATATAAACACCATGAACATGACTCTAAATTCAAGACTTAAATGTAAAGGAATTAAATCATCACTAGGTTTAAAGCGATTAACCATAAAAGCAGGAACTCAAAAATTGTTGCAGCAGTCTAATTTTCCTCCCATTAGGCTAACACAAATTACATCTCTAACATAACAATGTCAGTGCTAAATTGTGAAGTATTTTTAAACATAGAATGAATTTTTATTTCCTCTTATTATTTCTATGCTCAGAACCTGATAATCATCAGTTCAAAGTCACTAGTGAGTCTTTACTGTTCAGTTTCTAATGAAACTATAGCTTTTTTTCCTTTCACCAGTTTAACCTCCAGTATACACTGAGAAAAATCTGACTTTCCTAGAGTAGCATTACCCAAAAGTAACAGTTATCTCACTGTTATGCTGAGAAAGGCCTCTAATCATATCTTTTCTAAATATTAAAATCAGGTCAATTATAGAACTTCAACTCTATAGTTCGGTCTACCTAAATTCAAAGTTGCACATGATAAATACTGGCTCACAAGGAAGAGGATACTTTTTGTAATTTCTTATCTGAAAATTTTTAACAGATGAATTTCTCACCTTCCAGATGCTCCCATCATAGTACCTACTTTGGAAAGGGAAGGGGTGCCAGGACCTAATGAAAAATCAAAAGTTATATCAATTATGTGTAACCATTATTCTGGTAAGTTCAAACTGTCATAAAAAAAAAAAACTCACTTGGACTTTGAAGCTGTTGAGTAGGAGTTGAAGTGCTGAAAAATTTCTTAACATGGTCATTTTTCAATATGTGAGAAGGTAATGAGGCCAAATACCTAAAAAAACCAAACATCTAATTATCATTGAAAATCAACTATTAATCACTTTTTCAAATGGGAGATCATAGTGAATCTGGCATCTTGTCCCCCAAGTCATCCCTTCTTTCTCAAGGATTTCAGCACTTTGATCACTATTCTCTTCTTAGGAATTTCAACATCCATACTGACCTCCCTCAAATACCCTAAATTCTTAATTCCTCTGTCTCCTTTTATCCCACCTCAGCTTGGGGGACTGTCAATGGGATTACTGTCACCTTACTCAAAAGTAACTTCCTTAATTAAAAACTGAAGATCTTTTATTTGAACATAACCTCCTAACATTCCATGTTTTCCGATCACTTACTCCTCTTAAACCCATTCTTTGTCTTCATCAAGACCTGGGCCCTCCCTCTCACTTTATTCTCTTAGTTATGTCATCAGCTTCCACAGATTTAATTATCACCTCTATGTAAATGACTCACAGATTTATGTATCTACGCTTAGTCTTTCACCTGAGCTCAGTTGTGCATCGGACACTTCAAACTAGATATCCCAGAGGCATCTCCACCTCCAAATCTAGTTTTTTCCAATATTTTCCAATTTCTGTCAAAGGCAGCATCATTCTACCAGTAAACACTTGCCAGATCTTGGCTTTTCCATCTTCACAACATTTGTCACATCTGACCTCTTCTCCATACTCAGAGCCCACACAGTGGTTGAGGCCCTCATCATTTATTGCCTAGATTAGGTAATAGGCTCCTAGTTAGTCTCCCTGACTTGAGTCTCTCTCAACTCCAGTGAATCTTATGCACTGCTACCAGAGTGACTGTCCTCAAGAACAAATTAGACTTCCTTATTCAATCAATTCCAGCAGTTCCCTCGTCTCCAAGATAAAACAAACTTCTTTGCTTTTTAAGTCCTTCATAGCCTTGCTCCAACATATCTTTCCATCCACATTGTACATTATTCCTGGTCCTAAACTCTATGAGGCTATGAAAGCGGTCTCCTCTGTTCCTCATACATGGTTGGCCTCCATAATTGGAATTTCTTCCTTTCTCAACTCCACCTCATAGATTCCTTAAAGACAAAGCAAAAGTATCACCTTATATATGAAGCCTTTGCTAAAACCGCTTCCCCCCATATGCTAGTGCTTTCCCTCCTAAAATACCTTTGTATTTAATTTCACCTTGTTATCTTTATGTTTATTCTGCACATAACAAGTATGGTTTTCTCTAGTTATAATTTAATTAGGAAAAATAATAGTATGGGTAAATGTTTTTGATTTTAGATAACTAATAACTTCTATCTTGAATCAGTCTCAATTGCTAACTATTGAAAGGTATAGTTAACATTACTGTTAAGACTCTGAAATCTTATTATTTACACTCTCAAAAACCAGCTTTCACCTGTTCTGCTCTCTTATTATAGAAAATATGATTTTGAAAACCCTTAAAAAGGAGTTTATGGGCTCAAAGTTGTCATCTCAGATGTAAATCAAAAGAATTATTCCAGGTTTTGGCCACCCAAGATGTGTATGGACCACAATAGGAAGATTTCTACACAGTGATTCAGGCCAGCAGTCTTCATTGGTCCTTGTAAAAGCTGTACCTCCAACCTCTAGGCTTATTTATGGTTCCAGAATAGCATACTCTCTCAGAAAGTATGAGCACCTTTCTAGAATTTTTACCTAAGGTCCGATTCCAGGTCCATGTGGTTTCTCTCCAGGTAAAATGAATCTGGACCAGATAGGCAAGGAATGAATTTCTCCAAGTTTTCTTCAGGGTATAGCTGAGATAACTGGGAAAAAAAACCCCAAACAGCAAAAAACATAATAAGAAATATGGGAAACACATAAAATACTCAAAATAAAGTTTAGGTCAAAGGATAAAAACCATATGGGCATCCTTTAATAATGATCTTTTATTTATTTTTCTTTAATATGTATTACCTACCCAGATGAATGTACAGTTAAGTTCCATAAGGGTAGGAATTGTCATATATTTTGTGTTCCATTGCCTTGCATATCGTAGGTGTTTAATAAATGTTTGAATTGAAGTGAATTTGATATACAGGGAATGATGTAATAAAATATGGAACAAATTCATTTAACATGAACTGAATCCCCCAAATGAAGGAAATATTCAAGAATGTTTTAGGTGGTGATACCTAGTATAGTAAATTGTAATACTATAGCCCATAGATCTATTAGGCATTGTAAACACTGAGTCAAAGGAAATGCAAAATTTTACAATTGTGAAGTCAATATGTCTGTGGAGACTGTTGAGGTATAGAGCACCAAGGAGAGAAAAAAAGAAAAAAAGATTGTTAGAGACAAGAAGTAAGGGACAGCTAGGTGACATGGTGGATACAGCACTGGCCCTGGAGTCAGGAAGACCTAAGTTCAAATCTGGCCTCGGACACTTAATAAGTGTGTGAACCTAGGCAAGTCACTCAATCCCGATTGCCTTCAAAAAAAAAAAAAAAAGAAAAAGAAAAAAAGAAAGAAGGGGTAAAAAATGGAGAACAAAACCAAATTGTTAACAGATACAACACCCAGCACTCATCTTAATAATAATAGGCAGGCCACAATCATTACCATTCCTGCCTCAATTTTTCAACATTTTATAAGAATTTCTTTTCCTCTGCAGGTTATCATTCCTGATTCCATTTGCATATACTTCATTAGTGTGTAGTTTGTCATGTAATTTTATTATGCCAGAGGCTACAAAGATAGTACTGATGACAGTGTTCTTTAGGTTAATTTCTTGTTGTTCAGTGGTTCAATCATGTCTGACTCTCCGTGGCTCCCAGGCCCTTCTATCCTCCACTATCTCTCAAAGTCTGTCCAAGCTCATGGTCACTATTTCCATGACACTATCTATCCATTCCATCCTCTGCCTTTTCCTTTTCCTTTCCTTCACCCCTTTTCCTTTTGCCTTCAATCTTTCCCAGCATCAAGGTCTTTTCCAATGAGTCCTGTCTTCTCAAAGACAAAGTGGCCAAAGTACTTAAGCTTCAGTTCCAGTATTTTACCTTCCAGTGAATAGCCTGAATTAATTTCTTTAAGTATTGACTGATTTGATCTCCTTGCTGTTCAAGGGATTCTCAAAAGTCTTCTCCAGCACCACAATTAAAAGTGTCGATTCTGCACTGCTCAGCTTTCCTTATAGTCCAGATCTCACAGCCATATACTGCTACTGGAAAAATCATAACTTTAACTATACAGATCTTTTTCAGCAAGGTGATGTCTCTGTTTTTTAGTATGCTGTCCAGGTTTGCCATAGCTTTCCTTCCAAGGAGCAAACATCTTTTAATTTCATGGCCACAGTCACCATCTGCAGTGATCTTTGAGCCCAAGAATATAAAATCTGACACTACTTCCATTTCTTTTCCTTCTATTTGCCAGAAAGTGATAGAACCAGTTGCCAAAATCTTAGTTTTATTTGATGTTGAACTTCCAAGCCACCTTTTACACTCTCCTCTTTCACCCTCATCAAGAGGCTTCTTAATTCTTCTTCACTTTCTGCCATCAGAGAGAGTGGTATTGTCTACATATTTGAGATTGTTGCTATTTCTCCGGGCAGCCTCAATTCTGGCTCTTGATTCATCCAGCCTGGCATTCTGCATGGTGTACTCTGTGTATAAGTTAAATAAATAAGGTGACAACATGCAGCCTCGTCATGCTCCTTTTCCAGTCTTAAACCCGTCAGTTGTTCCATGTTTGGCTCTGTTTGCTTCTTGGCCCACACAAAGGTTCCTTAGGAGACAAGTAAGATGTTTTGTTACTTCCATCTCTTTGAAGACTTACCACATTTTGTTGCAATCCACCACAATTAAAGACTTTAGTGTAGTTAATGAAGCCAAAGTAGGTGTTTTTCTGGAACTCCCTGGTTTTCTCCATAATCCAGCAAATGCTAGCAATTTGGTCTTGAGTTCCTTTACCTCTCTGAAAACCATCCTGCTTTTTTGGGTAATTACCCGTTCACATATTGCTGAAGTTTAGCTTGCAGAATCTTGAGCATAACCTTGCTGGCATGTGAAATGAGTGCAATTGTTTGGTGATTTGAACATTCCTCGGCATTGCCCTTCTTTAGGACTGCGATATAACCTGATCTTTTCCAATCTAGTGGCCACTGTTGTGTTTTCCATATTTGCTGGCATATTGAGTGCAGCACTAGCAGCATCATCTTTTAGGATTTTAAATAGCTTAGCTGGAATCCCATCACCTCTACTAGCCTTTCTGTCAGCAAAGCTTCTAAGGCCCTCTTGATTTCATTCTCCAGGATGTATGGCTCTAGATCATTAACCACACCATCGTGGTTACTAGTAATGTTAAGATCCTTCTTGTATTATAGTTCTTTTGTACATTCTTGCCATCTCTCATTAATCTCTTCTGCTTCTGTTAAATCCCTACCATTTTGGTATTTTATCATGCTCATTTTTGCACGAAACTTTTCTTCCATATCTATAATTTTCTTTTTCTTAAGAGATGTTATATGTTTACTTATTTGTTTTTTTGGTGAGGCAACTGGGGTTAAGTCACTTGCCCAGAGTCACACAGCGAGTGAGTGTTATGTGTTTGAAGCCACATTTGAACTCAGGTCCTCCTGACTTCAGGGCAGGTGCTCTATCCACTGCGCCACCTAGCTGCCCCCATAGCTATAATTTTCTTGAAGAGATTTCTTATGTTTCTCATTTTATTACACTGTTTCTTTGCACTGCTCATTTAAGAAAACCTTCTTATCTCTCCTTGCTCTTCTCTGGAATTTTGTATTCAGTTATGCATATCTTTCCCTTTCTCCTTTCCCTTTCCTTATTTCCTCAGCTATTTGGAATGCCTCATCAGACAGCCATTTTACTTTCCTGCTCTCTTTTTCTTTGGGATGTTTTTGTTGTTGCCTCCTATATAATACTGTGAACCTCTGTCCATAGTTCTTCAGGAATTCTATCTACCATATCTAATCCCATAAATCTATTTATCACCTCTACTTCATATTCTTAAGGGATGTTTTTTAGGTCATACCTATATAGTATGATGATTTTCCCTATGATCTTCAATTTAAGTCTGAATTTTGCAATAAGAAGCTCATGTGTTGTTTTAACTGATTATATAGAGCTTCTCCACTCTTTGGCTGCAAAGTATACAATCAATCTGATTCTGATATTGACCATTTGAGGATATCCATGTGTAGACTTGTCTGTGGGGTTGAAAAAGAGTGTCTGTGATGACCAGAAGCCTAATTTCTACTCCTGTATTAAAATCATTTAGGAAATAGGATTAATTTCTATTTATTTTTTGTCATTATATTTATTCCATAAAATAGGCACTACAAAGATGGACTGAAATGCTACATGGCAGCTGCAGCACAGCCATTACTGACACTTACCTTTAAATTTTTTCCTTAATACACAATACTGAAGCAAGGTAATACATAGCTATAACATTCATGCTACACATTAATGCTACATATCCCTTTTGGAGTAGTATTTTGATTTTATTCTTTCATTTCTTGGGGACAAAATTCCTTCCACTAAAAATATACCAATCTTGGAAGGATAATGCTTAAAAAACCCATGAAAACAAATGAAGAGAACCTTTCTGGAGTCACCTTACCTTGGAAATAAATTCAGTCACTTCAATGGAAGATTTGGTTAGTGATGTTATTGAAGAATCAGACCACAAGACCTAAAAAACCCAAACATATTTAATTACATAGCCATAAATTAGCTAGCACAGGGTGTAGCATGTATTAAGTCTATTACACACCATACACTAATTAGATGACACATCTTTGTTTTATAAAAGCATTAAAACATCAAAATAAATTTATAAAAGCTAGTCTTTGTACTTTAGTTCAAAAGTACCATATTACTCAAGTTTTGAGCCTAAACTTTGCTCCTTAGTATTTTCATAGTTATTGTCAATTCCAACAATTTCTATACATACATAATAGTGTCATAATAGTGAAACTTAGATGGTTGGGTATATATAATGCAATAGGTATAAACAAAAGTCAAGTGGAGATACACTTATTAAGTGCCTTCTATGTGCCAGGCACAGTGCAAAAGCACTGGAGGATACAAATAAAGGCAAAAAAACCCAGTCTTTACTTTCAAAGAGAGCAGCTAGGTAGCATAGTGGATAGAGTGCCAGCCCTGGAGTCAGGAGGGCCCTGAGTTAAAATCTGGCCTCAGACATTTGCTAGCTCTGTGACCCTGGGCAAGTCACTTAATCCCTGTTTGCCTCAGTTTCCTCATCTGTAAAATGAGCTCGAGAAGGAAATGGCAAATCACTCTAGTATCTTTGCCCAGATAACCCCAAATGGAGTCAGAGTCAGACACAACTAATTAACCAAACAACAGCAGCAACTCTCAACATGCTCACAGTCCTTATGAAACAAGATGGAAACTACTTACAAACAGGATAAATTGGAGATAATCTTAGAGGGAAGTAACTAGCATTTAGGAGAACTGGAAAAGGCTTGTTACAGAAGGTGGGATCTTAGTTGAGATCTGAAGGAAGTAGTGAAGCCAGGAGAGAGAGATGAGGAGGAACAGAGTTCCAGGCATGGGTTTGGCCAGTGAAAATGCAGGGAGAGTCAGGAGAGATGGTGTTGTTTGGCAGGAATAGCTAGGAGACCAGTGTTACTGTATCTCACTGCATGTAAAGGAAGTAAAGTATAAGAAGACTAGAAAGGCAGGGGGTGGAGTGAGGACAGGTTATGAATGGTATTAAGCCAAAAAGAGAACTTTATATTTGATCCTGAAGGTAGGAGTAGATTTATAATTTCATTGCAATTTTTGAAGAATTTGAGATCCTTTTCTGAAAACTGCCTCACAAATGATAGGTACCAGCAACTTGTTCAAACTTAGCAAAACTTTCAGTCATTTTCACTTCTACTATATCTTTAGATACAGTCATTGTTAAGTTAATGATTTGCAGATTTTATACCCTATTATAGCAGTATAGCAAATCTTATAAGGGGCATTATCCTCATAAAGAATTATTCCATGTTTTAGCCAACTAGGAATAAACACAGAATTTTCTATTTTAAATGTATTCTTATCCTAAGTTCATTCTCCCTTCTTTGCTACTATGTAAAATACCAGACACATTTTACTCCATGGCTCCTCATTAATGTGTAGTTTGTCATATAATTTTATTACACCAGAAGCTACAAAAGATAGTACTGATGACAGTGTTAGGCTAATTTCTAGCCCTGTCTTAAAATGTATTCTTCCCACCCAAATTATATTTATGCTAATTTGATAACATCAAACCTAAGTTTTTTGTTTTTTGGTCTGAAATATTTAAAATTATACCAGCAGCAAAGCAAGAGTTGTTGGCGGGGGGCAGAGAAAGCACAACATTTCCCATATAAATTACCAATGATAACTATGGATGTATATGGAAAATCTTTCCAATCCTTAAAATGTTCTGCCAAAAGCACTGATAATAGTATTTTTTTTTAAAAAATGTACATTTAAAAACTTAAGTCTGCTATTCCAATAATACTTACACCATGACAAAAACCTAAGCAATTTCTAATTTAGTGTCCTCCTGTCCTCACATGTTAATACCACATGAGAACATACTAAAAAAATTATAGCACAAAATCCAATTTCCAAATAATAAAGAACAGCATAGATATCTTGTGTTTAGGTAGACGGCTATTTGCCTTCACCAACAACTATGTAGTTTCAAATAAACAAGTTAGACTAGTCTAAATTGTCTGGGATTTATTTTTCTTCTCATTGCAAGACACAGTTGTTATTTTAGTTTCTAGAATTTCAATTCATGGAAACCACAAAACCAGTTTTGGCAAACAATGCCCTCCTCTTGGTTTGAATCCAGCCATATTAACCATTCCAAACTACTCAAATCCATCCTAGGAGCTTTTGATGACCATATCAGGATTAGAGGGGGATGGACCCCCTGATATCTGGCCTAGTGACAGCCTTTCATGGCTATCTGTCTTCAGCTTAGTGGGCCACTCTGTGATATCAAAAGCTAGGTGAAAGAGATAGTTGAAGTGAAAGTAGAAGACAGAGAATCACAGAATGCTGGAGGTAAAAGGTATTGAATCCAACCAAACACTCATCACTTCAGAGATGCAGAAACTGAGCAACTTGGCCAAGGCCAGGATGAGAACCCACATCTTGATACTAAGGTAAGTGCTCTTTTTACTACACCACTGCAGTCCGTATGTCAGCTTATTGTGGTTGACCTCTCAAGTGGCCTCAAAGTAGTTACATGGGCACCAGTGACTGCTACAGGGAATCTAGTAATTGTTTGGCCACCCCTGCAAAAAGATGAAAGTTCTCTTTCCTCAAAAGAAAGGAACTGAACTGGAAGGGCCACCGACCAGCAGAACTAGCTAACCTAGAAGGGCCCATTTTGTTTTTAAAAAGTTTGGCTCAAGACTACTTGCTGACCCCACGTCAGGCGATGAACCCAATGATCAAAGCCTTCCCCATCTGGTCATACACTTTGCTCTCATTTATTCTCGCCTGTCAGTCTTGTGTTTTCTTCTGTGCTGCTTTCAGCTGGTCTCAGCATTCAAACACTTTTCTCATTCTCTTATTCTGATGATGTCAAAACTAGGAAATGATGAATAATGACACTATTTTCATGTCTTGCCTTTATCTTCACCTGGTAGCCAATTTTCTGGTGAAGAGCCTTTCCATGTTTAGATTGTATGATAAAATGTTTTTTTCTATTAGCTGTCCTTGTAATACCACTTGTAGATGTTAAAAATACATTTTATTGAAAATAATAAAGACTAAGCTCTGGAATACTTGAGGAAAATATCAAGAGATAATAAGAATGAAAAGAGAGCTATTTTTTTGAGCAGGGGAATAAATTGATCAGATCTGTTCATTGCGAAGAATTCCTTAGCAGCTATGTAAAAATAATGTAATAGTGAGGGGAGAAAATGGTGGTAGGAAAAGCATTTAAGAGAATATTACAATAACAAAGATGATAAATAAATGGACAAGATTTGTCATTGATTGGATGTGGGAGGAGAGGGGAAAAAAAGAATCAAAGATGACTCCAAAGGTGACTGGAAAGATGGTACTATCATCTATAGAAATAGGCAAGCTTAAAGGCAGGGAAGATTTAGGTGAGGGAGTTCACCCTTGATCAGTTCAGTTTTGGCATATCGAGTTTGAGGTGCCACTGGGACATCCAAAAATCCAACAGGAACCTAGAAGACCTTTTTATCCCTCCCCTCAAGCTTCCTGTGGCTCCCCATGTGCCAACTGAAAATGCTGCCTCGTATCTTACAGAAAAACAAAAAACAATTGAGGCCATTTACCAGGAACTCCCTCTTCTTCTCTCTTCTCCATCTCCTACCACTCAGATGCCTCTGCCACCTTCTCCTTCTTCAACCCTGTATCTCACCTGATGGAATGGCCTCACTCCTCACCAGAGCTAACCACTCTAACTTGTTCAAGTGATCCTGTTCCATCTAGACTTCTTTGTCATGCCCACTCTTTCACTTATTTTCAATCTAGCTGCCTACTGGCTCATTCCCTACAACCTACAAACTTGTTCACGGCTCTCCTATTCTGTAAAAAAACAAAACAAAACAAAACAAAAACCTCACTTGATCTTCCATTTGTGCTATTGTCTTATGTGTCTTTTGCCCTTTGTAGCTAAACTCCTCAAAAAGTTTATCCAAAATAGGTGCCCCCACACTTTCTCTTCTTAACCCCTTACAATCCCCACCGTGTCATTCCACTTAAAACTGCTCTTTCCAAAGTTACTAATGATCTCTCAGCTGCTGAATCAAACGGCCTTTTCTCAGTCCTCATTCTCCTTGACAGTACTAATCACTGACTCCTCCCTGACACTCTCTCCTCTCCAGCTTTTCAGGGCACCACTCTCCTCTGTTTCCTTTGCTGGATCCTCCTCCAGATCACATCCTCTAATTGAAGGTGTCCCTTAGGATTCCTTCCTGGGCCCTTCTTGTCCTCCCCCTCTATGCGACTTCACTTGGTGTGCTCATCAGTTCTGGTGGATTTAATTCAAATCTACCTATCCTGCCCTAGTCTCTCTGCTGACCCCAAATCTTGCATCTCCAGCTGCCTTTCAGACATCTTGAGGTCCAGTAGACAGCTTAAACTCAGTATGTGCAAAACAGAACTTATTGTCTTTACTTATTTATCTTTACTATCTGCCCCTCCCACCTTCTATATTTTTGTAGAGGACAACAGCATCCTTCCAGTCCCTCAGGCTCACAACCCAGAGTCACCCTGGATTCCTCACTATCTCTCACCCTACCCTCACCCCCACTCCATATAGAGGCTGTTGCCAAGGTCTGTTGATCTCACCTTTGTAACATCTTTTGAATAAGCTCTCTTCTCTCCTCTGACATTGCCACCTCTCTGGTGCGAGCCCTCATCACGTCATGCCTTGTTTATTACAAGAGCCTACTGATGTATGTCCCTACTCCAATCCATCCTCCATTCAACCACCAAAATGATTTTCCTAAAATGCAGGTCCAGTTACGCCATTTCCCTCCCCCCTACTCAATAAACTCCAGTGGTTTTCTATTACCTCCAGGAACAAATATAAATTTTTCTGTTTGGCATTCAAAGTCCTTCATAACCTAGCCTGTTCCTACCTTTCCAGCCTTCTTACACCTTATTCCCCAACACATATGCTTTGATCCAGTGATC